CCAAACAAAGGTAAATTCTACCCTCAAAGGTAAATTCTGTTGCCACTTCTTCAGAGACCAAAAATCTCCTGGAAGTGTTAAAATAGCAGTTTATCCTTACTTGCAGTCCCGAAAAGTCTCAGAATGACTTTAGAATGTTGCGGGTTCATTTGGTAGTAAATTTTAACTTTTTTATGGAGTGAGGGCAGGGAATTGAATCCAGGGCCTTGTGTGTGTGTGTGTGTGTGTGTGTGTGTGTGTGTTGGGATAATGCTCTACCACTGAACCATACTCTAGCCCCCCATTTTTTGGCAGTGCTGGAGGTTAAACCCAGGGCCTCATACATGCTAGGCAGGTACTCTGCCACTGGGCTATATCCCCAGCCCATTTTAAAAACTTTGTTTGAGGTAGGGTCTTGCTAAGTTAGCAAGACTAGCTTCAAATTTGCAATCCTCCTGCCTTAGCCTCCCTAGTAGCTGAGATTACAGGTGGACACCAAGCCTGGCATCCAGAATTTTTGTGTGCATGTAGTTTGTCTTTGAAGTTTTACTTGTACAAATTTATGCTATAGACATGCTCACACAATGCTCTAACAATGCTCCAGTGCAGCGTTGATTGTAGTACTAAAAATTGTAAACAATTTATATATACATCAATCATGATATGATTGAATAAATTAATCTACCCATTATATGGAATGTAATGCAGCCAATAAGATTGAGGTCTGTCTGTCTCTATGCACTGCTATGGATTGGGTTCCATGACATATGAGAAAAATGTGTGTGAATCTATATGTGAGTTGTGAATGTATGTATATAAACAATATATGCATGGAAATTAGCCTAGAAGGATACATACTAAAAATACTAACAGTAGATACTTCTGAGTAGTAGGATGGGGAAATGATACGGAAATGTCTAGGAAAAAAGTTAGTTCTTTTTTTTTTAAAGTCAGGAATTGGGGATATAGCTCTGTGGTGGAATGCTTGCCTAGCATGCCGGAGGCTCTGGGTTCCATCCTCAACAACACACACACACACACACACACACACACACTTAAATTGTATGTTAGTTTTATAATTGAAAAGAAATGTAAACTCATCACCTTTCTTTGCAGACGCATTAGACAGTGGGCTCTTTAGCACTTTGCTTTCCCACGGGATTTGCAATTTTGTTGCCAAATTCTGCTTTTGAGGTCTTTCCAACCCTCTTGTCCTTCCTTCCTTTGGAGGCAGTCTGCAGGATTCTTTCCTTGTTTCTCTGAACTAGCACAATTAAACTCAATATTGTAAGTTAACACCAGCAGTTTCAAACTTTCTTGCATATTAGAATCACATCAATACTCATTTAATGCAGATTCCTGGGCCCTGCTCATTAGATTCTGATTCAGTGTGTCAGGAGTGGGGTCTAAAATTTTGATCTTTTTTTTTTTTTTAGCTGTCAACAGGCCTTTATTTTATTTATTTATATGTGGTGCTGAGAATCGAACCCAGTGCCTCACACATGCTAGGCAAGTGCTCTGCCACTGAGCCACAATCCCAGCCTGAATTTTGATCTTTTTAAGTTTTTATTTATTTGGTTCCTGGGATTGAACACAGGAGGCACTTAATCACTGAGCCACATCCCCAGCCTCCTTTTTTAAAAATTTTGAGACAGAGTTTTGCTTAGTTGCTGAGGCTGGCTTTAAACTTGTGGTCCTTCTGCCTCAGGCTCCCAAGTTGCTGGGGTTACAGGTGTGTGCTGCTGCACCCAGAAGAAATCTTGATCTTTTAAAAACTCTCTTTTGATTCTGACTTCTGGTTGTGTTCCCTCCACCTCCTTTCTCTTTCTGTGATTAGTAGCTGTTAAAAAGTAATTAGGCAGGAGAGGATGACTCATTGTGGATATCTTTGTGGGTCACAAATGGTTTGGTTCCTCTGAATGGGAAAAAAATGAATAAAGTACAAATTCATAGATGAGATTTTAGTAATAATCCTTGCTTCTTTAAAGCAGCCTATTTAAAGGGTTCCCTCTGGGTTAGAGGCTGGTCAGGTGGGCTTCCTACACAGTGACTTCCACCTAATAGATGCCCTTCAGTGATAGCTATGCTAGTGGAGGGGAAGGAAGAACCTCCCTCCACAAGTTGTGAAGTCTTGGTTTTCAAATGATTTTTTAGGTGAAGCTTTTGTCCTGGGAAACTGGTATACTGTAAATATGTGTTACTGTCTTATGACACCTCCATGTTTTTTTTTTTTTGTTGTTGTTGTTAGAACAAATTTTTCCTTTGTTGTATGGTCATTCTGTTAACCAGATGCCCATTGTGGGTTATTAACATCTCAAAGGGGTGTTTAACAAATGTAAATCTCAGTTGCTCCTAGCAGTTAACCTCAGGAACAAAAGTAAATGGGAGTATTTCTTAACTACCTTTCCAAGCTGGCAGCCTTAAGTTTTTATAAACTATTAGGTTTATTAGTTCAGAATAGAAAAGTGGATTTGGACAGTTTTCTGAACTGCTCCTCATTTACCCAACTATCACTTAGTCACAGGCTACTCTGTGCCTATTGGACATTAGATAACTCTACAAATAGATGCCAGAGACTGATCAGAAGTTGGAACTTTCTAAGGGGTTCATTGGAATGCAAAAATAATGAATAAAATACAGTTTATTAAACTTCAGATCTTTGTAGCATGTGTAAAAACAGAGTGAATTCCTTAAAGCAGTAGCTTTGTTCTCCTTTTGTAGTCTATTTTAAGTGGGCCCTTTGGCCCAGAATTATCAACCTTGTATTAGGAACTTTGAGGAAATGGTGGTTTGGTGGTTGTTTTTTGAAGGATTTTTAAAGAAGTGTAGTTACTAAGCAACTGCCATGACCTGCTGTGGAGTTCAGCAGGCAAGTCATTTCCAAAGAAGGTAATATATAAACAAGTTTTAAGAGGGGAAACATGGCTTATGGATAGATTGTTAGTGGTTTTTTTAAGGTCATGGGTTTGGAACCCAGGGGTGGCTCTACCATGGTCCAACACCCCCAGCCCTTCTTCTTCTTCTTTTTTTTTTTTGGGAGACAATCTTGTTAAATTCCCAAGGCTGTCCTTGAATTTGTGATCCTCTTTCCTCAGTTGCTGGGATTACAGGCTTGTGATGCCATGCCTGACAGTTGGGTGTTTTCTTTTGTTCTGGGTTCTATGCATAGTTCTTTTACTCATCTTCCCTAAGAAAGGACTGCCTGGTCAGAAAGAAGTCTCTGCTTCACACGGTTCTCTCCTTAGTGAGTGAGTTTGAAAGAAGGCCAGAAAGGAAGGAGTGAGACATGATCCCCAGCCAGGGTTAGAGGGCCAAGCCCAGGGTTAATGCCAGTGCCCAGACATCTCTAGAGGTGCACTGTTCTGTTGCTGTGTCTTGGGCATCCAGGGCTTCTGTGACAGATTGGCCACCATCCTCTCCCTTTACTTTGAGACACCTCATTGATATTGATGTGTTGCCGTGTAACCCTTAGAACAGGGACATTGTCCAGCTGTTGTCTCTTGTTTCTCCCCAACACTTAATGGGTGAGTCAGTGACTCAACTGCTTCCTCCAGGATTTCAGGGACAGGAGTAGTTAATGAGGACAAATCACCATAATACCAGTACGTGATGAATGAAAGATCACATGAATTTAACCAGTTGGCTTCGTTGATATCATGGTGAACAAAAAGAAACTTTTTTTGAGAAGAGGCTATTTGCATGACTTCAGACTCCACTGATCCTGTTTAGGCTTTTTAGCATTTCCCTTTTCACCCAGCTGAAGGTCAGGATGCTTTGCCTAGGGAGGCTAGGGGGAGCGGCAGGTGTTGGAGCAGGTGTTTTGTTCTCTCCCGCAGAGTCACACAGACTAGGTGGGGATGCTTCTTGCCAGCCCTCTATGGTGCATGAAAATGCTTTTGTGGAATTTTTTCCCCCTAAAAGTGTGTGTGTGTGTGTGTGTGTGTGTGTGTGTGTTTTAAAGCAGTTGCCCAACCTTCGACCCCTGGTATAAATTTTGACTTCCTTTAAAGTCAGCTTGTCATGGAGAAGTATGCCTGTCATCTGCCATTTCCACAGCCTGTGCCTTAGATATACCCCATTTTATGCAGCAATTATAGACCTGAAAAATGTTGTGTAATTGTGTATGTGTGGTAAGTGTGAATATCATATTTTAAATGTACTGGGAGAATGTCACAGCAAAGCAACCCTATAAAAAGCCTTTTATAATAATTGTATGACTAGAGTTAATTTTGCTATGTCAATTTTCTTAAATTGGTCATAAACCTGTAGCAACATTTCCTGGCAGTTGAAATAGTCTCAGTGGGCTACAAGGCTGGGCATGGACGAAGGGCCTAAGTGATTAGATGATTTTAAGGGTGAGAGGTGTCAACAGACTTGTAGATTTGGGAGAATTTATATTTTAATATATTACAGAAGCCAATGAGACTTGTTAAGAGGAAAGTATCTCAGGGGAGCTTTAGCTTTAATTCTCCTTATGTGATTTTAAGGTTTGTTTGTTTTTAGCCTGTTTGTACTGGGTTCTACTACCCCCCCAAACAAAGTCATCCCAGAAAAAATTGTCCTCTCCTAACAATGATATAATGGCCTTGGTCCTTTCCAGCCCCCCCCCCCCCCCCCCTCTCAGGGCCATCTGTTCTCTGCATTGGCTTTTTGGGAAAGTCTCCTTGCCCATCTGCTCTCCTTGGGCCTTAGTGTCTGCTCTAAAGATTTATAAAGGCTGCACTGGAACCTCTTTCCAGTTGTTTTATTTTTAAGGATCAGTGAGATTTTGAGGCAGATGAAAGCTGTTTCCATTTGACATGCCCTAATACTACTCCTTTTCTAGGTGCTTTCTCGGTCAATTAGACTTGTGGGTAGAGAAACTATGTCTGTCTACATTTGATTATCAAAGCAAGGATTTGAGCTGGCTCTGGTTGTTTTGAAGCCAGGTGTCCTTCTGGTTTTTTGGCCACAGGCACACCAGCTCAGGGGAGCTCCTTGGGTTCATTCTTTTCCTGTCTTTCCCCTTGTCTCCCTGACAGAGTACAGTCGCTTTGAATCGAAGATACATGACTTGCGAGAACAAATGATGAACAGCAGCATGAGTTCTGGGTCAGGGTCCCTCCGAACAAGTGAGAAGAGGTCCTTGTATGTCAGGTAAGTTGCCTTTCTGAGCACCAGGCCTGGTGCTGGATGGGAGCAGCTCTGCGCCAGCCCAACCCTTCTTGTTTAACTAGTGGGGTAGGGAGTGTGTACTCCCAGTACTAAAATAACACTTCATACTGTATGCTCAGGTTATGTATTTTATGGTCAGTATCTCCTCCCTTTTGTGAGCTGGCTTCTTCCTTTTTGCTCATGAATGACTCAGTATAGGAAAATTTCAGTTTGCTCTAATTGTAAAAGACTGTTGGGTGATTGTTGCTAGTCAGCATTCAAATAGCACTCGAATTTTCAAAGTACTTTGCTTGCAATCTGTGCTCTGAGGGGAAAACTTGGCCCCCATCCCCTTCCACATATGCATAATAGACATCAGGATTTGTATCTGAGCATATCAACTATCACAGTGTTCTGGTACAGGATTTCTTTTGAGACCAAAGAATTGACAGGTTGTTGCATTCTGCGTATTATATTGTGCTTCCATCCCCCCTCTCCACCCACTGCACTGATTTGCTGTGTCTGTGAATCATGGGACAGAATGGAGTGTGTTCCCTAGGAAGGAGGGTGGGGAGGGATCAGATATATAACATTGAACTGTAAGCCACTTGGCGATATTGTCAAAGGTTGAGCTTCTGACCCTTAAGGTGCAGTATACTACTGTGTCAGATCAAGGTACAAACTTCCCTGGTTGTTGGACTGATAAGGGAACACTGTGGACTCCTTGCAGAATTAGGGCTAGTTTCCTTCTTCCTGCCCTGACTTCCTGGCAAAACTCCAGCAGAATGATTGCAAGTTCATTGTATCTCTCCAAGGGCACAGCCTTAGGAGGTAGTGGGATTACCAGAACTACTTTAGATATCTGCTGAATGCTTAGGTGTGGGGTTGTCTTAAACTCTTTGGTTGAACTTTTCTGGTGGCCTCTGATATCTACTGGGGGCGGGGAGGCTACATTTGCCAGTTGCCTGGCAACATGACAATTGCTCTGTCCTTGGGGTGTGAGATGACGATAGCTAACCGATGTCAATGCTAATTGCCGTTCTCACAGTGCTTTCTTTTCTTTTTCCCCAGTTGGTAGTCCCTGACCCTATTGCGGGAGCAGAGCTGAGGGAGCCCCTCTCTGAGCCCAAAGCCCACTAGAACCCTTTGAGGTCTTTTCTAAAGTGAACCCTTAACTCCACTCCTTGTGTGAGGAGAGCATTTGCTGCACTCATCTCCCACTGTGAGGGGAGGAGAAGGGTAGAGAGAGGCTGGACTACACACCAGCCATGTTTCCAGTCTCCCTTCTGGCAAAGAAAGGCCTATCTGCTCTCACCAAAGCCCTTACCCCGGGTCTGCAGCTTAGACACTGGACCACTGATGAGGGAAGCCAGAAATGTGCTGTCACCCCTCAAAATGGGTAATACTTGTGTGACTTGGTCAGGATTGTTCCGTTCCCGTGCTTCCAGCCCCCGCAGATGTGGCACTCCAGTGTGCGTGGGAAGCTGCTCTTTAGGCAAGACAGTTTCTTCAGAGAGCTTTATTTTTAGATTTCCCCTCTCCGCCTATCCTGGGCTAGAGCTCTCCCTGCCTGGGCAGGGGGAGTTGGGCATTGGTTCTCAATCTGGAGTACCCTTCTCTGGCCCAGGCAAGGGATATATTCAGCCTAACTCTGGGGAGGAGAGTAGAGACCCTGACTCTGTTTCTAGAGAATCCATTTGTATAATCTGCCCTTAACCTTGTCTAGATAACATCTGTATCCTCAAAGGGAAGTAGATATGGTTTACAATAGGAACTGTTTGTGATCACTGGACTTAATTAGGGCAAATAATGCTTTATGGCTAAAACAGTGAGCTGGCTAACCCTTGTATGGGAACCTGGTGCGCTCATCTCTTCCATTCCTGTTTTTGGCCTTTCACTCTACACTTGGTTTCTTTTCTTATACATGTGAACATATTTAAACTTCTTCCATTCTTTTTTTTTTAATTGGAGCTTGATAGTTATACATAATAGTTGAGTTAATCCTGATAAACTCATGCATGCGTGAAAATCTATTTCAATTCATGATCCCTCAATTTTCCTCCCATCTTCCCCCTCTCCTATTCTTCTTCCCCTACTCTACTAGTCTTGCTTTCACTCATCTATTAATTTACATTTGATTGGTTCTTTATGCTATCCTATCCTTTCTCCCCCTTTATTTTACTCTTGTTACTGCATATAAGAGAAAATATTTGACCTTTGAGTTTCTGAGTTTGGCTTATTTCACTTATTATAATATTCTCCATTTCCATTCATTTACTAGCAAATGCCAGGATTTCATTTTTTAGTATCTGACTAGAACTCTATTTGTGTGTGCATGTGTGTGTGTGTGTGTGTGTATCACAATTTATTAATCCATTTGTGTATCAATGGGCATCTGGGTTGATTCCATAATTTAGCTATTGTGAAAACTTCTTCCATTTTTTATTTTTCTAAAGCAAAATTTTAAAAAATATTGTTTAGTTGTCAACGGACCTTTATTTTATTTATATGTGGTGCTGAGAATCAAACCTAGTGCCTCACACATGCTAGGCAAGCGCTCTATCACTGAGCCACTGCTCCGGGCCCCATTCTTTTATTTTTGTTTTTGGTACTGGATATTTAACCCATGGATGCTTTACCACTGAGCCACATCTCAGTCCTCCACCTGCTTTAAATTTTGAGACAGTGTCTTGCTAAGTTTCTCAGAGCCTTGCTAAGTTGCTGAGGCTGGCTTTAAACTTGCAATCCTTCTGCCTCAGCCTCTTGAGTTGCTGGGATTACAGGCACCCAACTAACTTCTTCCATTCTTAAAGGAAAGATAAGTTCCTTAAACTATTGTTTCTCTTCTTTTGCTCACTGAATTTACCAAATTCTGTGCCAGGAAACACTAGTACCTTAAGATGTTAATAAGTTAATAGGTATTGTATGAGATATCAGTGCTTCAGTGAGTTGGGTAAATGCAGACTTAAACAGGAAAACTTGACTCTTTACTGTGATTAATGTCCAGGAGGGACAGTGTTTTCCCCAAAAGATATGAACACAGGAGCCTTATTTGGGAAAAAAAAACTGTCTTTAACATCTAGGCTGGGAAGTAGTAAAACTGTCTGTGCTTACTGTTGCTACTTCTCCCCGTCACCTCTCTTTGGTAGCCCAACAGGAAGTGAGCACCAGCTTTTCAGCATGGTAGTGTGGTAGTTCGAAGCAGCCTTGAAAGGCTCCAGAGGAGCAGATGCTGGACTCTATGTCAGGAATCAGCAATGACATCTTGGATTTTAAATTCAATGACTGACCTGGATTTGACTTCTTCACCACATGTTTTTTTATGAATTTCCTGCTTTCTTCTTTAAAGGTTCTCTGCCTACCTTGCTGACCAATCCTCAATACCTTTCATTATTAGCTCTGCCCCTGAAATGGTAATGTCATTTATTTTCACATCTTCAAATCCTGTTGTTGTGTAAGTGACAGTCCTGACCTCTTTACTGAACTTCAAACCTGAATATCAACAATTTGCTGGACATGTGTGTAAATAAAGCTGCCCTTCTAGTTCCTCAGACAAACTGCATGTTCAAAATGGACTCCCCTCCCTCCCTCCTCCTCCTTTCCTCCTCCTTTCCTCCTCCTTTCCTCCTCATCTTCCTTAAGTTAATTGCCTCACCCTATCATGTGGAAAAGGGATTAGATTTGTCCTGTCACCCAAGGCACATTTCAGCTCAACATAAGGAAGAAGGAGCTCATGATGAAAACTGTCTGAAATGGAATGGACTGCTTCTGGAGAGAGTAAATTTGATCTTTTGTCACTGGAGGGGTTACAGAAGAGGCTGGGTGACCATTTGCCTGGTATTGCAGAGGGTTTAAAGCTATAGCAACATTCTGGTCCTGATGTGCTCAGAAGATTTCAGTAGTTCCCCAGTGTCTTTAGATTAAAGATGAATAAACATCTAGGAACAAAGACCTATTATGTGCCATGATCTTTGTTATTCTCTTTAAATGATTTTTAAATATTTTTAATAGTGCTACAAAGTAGACATAATTCCTGTTTTATAGATGAGAAAACTGAGAGAAGTTCCCAAACTGGAATTTGAACCTGGTTGCTCTGACTATTAAAGTGTGCTTCTTTCAGCCTTTCCCCAGCTTGCTGATAGGAATCGACTATGGAATGCTAGTAAAAATACATATTCCTAGGCTCCTCTTCTGGTGAGTTGGATTCACCAGGGTTGGGTTTTTTTTTTTTTTTGTACTGGGTATTGAACCCAGGAGCACTATTCCACTGAACTACATCCTCAGTCCTTTTTATTTTGAGAGAGGATCTTGCTAATAAGTTGCCCAGGCTGGCCTTGAACTTGTGATCCTTCTGCCTCAGCTTTGCAAGTAGCTGAGATTATAGGCATGTAACACCATGCCTGGAGAAATGTATGTTTTAACAAGCAATCAGAATGCTTGGGAATGACTGCTTGTGTACCACAATACACATTTATTTCTATGTTAACTAAACATTGCACTTTTTAGTTCCTACCGTGTGGAAAGCAGTAAAGCACAGGTCTAAGAATTTGGGCATGGTAGCATGGGTGGAATTGAGGAAGCAGCCATGTGGTTCCTTCTGTCCACCAAGAAGAGGTCAAGCAGCCCATGGGTAAAATGAAGGCACCTTTTCCAGTTTGGGTTCTTTAATTCTCTTGCTGTTTTTTCCCCTTCTGACATGTTTCTCCTCCCTTCCCTTCCCCTGAGTATCTCCCTCTGGTGTGCATGGGGTTTGCAAAGCTATTTTGAAGTAAATAACACCCTCTTACAGCTGCACTGAGGCTGTAGCAGGTGAAGCCCTAGGGAGCTGCAGCTGTACTAACCGTAGGGGCAATGGGAGTTTTGGAGCAGGAGGAAGAAGGAAAGATAACAGTATTTGGGAAATGTTACTTGGCTTTGAAGTCACCAGGGACTTAATGAGAAAGGCCTTCCACACCCTTCATCATGCTAGAACAGTTTCTTCTTTTTTTTGGTGGGGGGTGGAT